CTTCTGTTAAAAAAGCGAAGAGAGAGAGAAGAAAGAAAGGAGGAGAGTGGGTAGAGAAGCCACCCCATACATTTGACCTTAATGAGGCAGGCTATGAATACGCATAATGATTTCTCAAAGTGTTTGAAGATGTGCAGCTTTAGGCAAAAGAACTGTACTAAAAAGGGGATAGGGTAAGTACCACTCAAATGGAGCCATTATGCTTGCAGCTATGTGGATCCTGAAATGAGATAAAAGCCACATCACAGAGGCATAATGAATTCAGGACCAATAGAAAGAATTAACTGACATATCTTCTGGTAAAAGAGCTTGTGAAACCTTTCAGTTCTGCTTTGTATCAGTGGTCTACATGACAAAGCAGAAGAAACAGCAGAAAGACTATGATTTCCCTGTCCTCAGCATAAAGCCTCAAGGAACTACAGAAGTGTTGGACTGCCTCTCCCACTGACATCTCATGCATGCATTAGGATAAATAACTAAGCACTTATGGTCCCTGTGTGTTGTTCCTCTGCTTATTCCTTACCCTCCACTCTGAAAATTCTTGCAGGACAAACGCACATACTGGTATGACACCTTTTCCCCATCCTTCTTGGGCTGAGGGCAAAGAAAAAATGGCAAGTAATATTAACTTATTTCTTGTGTCTTTCTCAATCGGACTGAAACAAAAACTGAAGGAAACTGAATCAAGCCTAGAGATTCAGAAATACAATATATCACACAGAACATGGGTTGGAAGCTATAATATACCCAAAGTTTGCATCTTCCAACAAATAACTTAAAATAGCAGTTCTTTCCAATACAGCTACTCTTCTAACGACAATTAAAGAGAAAATAGGAAAGGCCTTAAACTGGATACTGAGATAGGAACCCTCCATCTTTGGAAAAACCTGCTTGAACGAAGAGTCTAAATTTGTACTGTGGACCTGCCTCTGAAAGAGGGTAAGATCTTGGCCTTAAGGTGACAGAGCTTTGAAGAGATCCCTCTTGGCCTAAGATCACAAGTCAGGCTAAATTGAAAAGCTGTCTAACTGTTAAACATTATGCCACAACACAGCTTCAAGGAATATTTTTCCATAAGTGCATTAGTTTGAAATATTCCAACTTTCCAACTCTAAAGATTTTTAATACTGTTTTTCATAAGAAAACAAAAAAACAAACAAACAAACAAACAAACAAAAACCCAAAAAAACCTCCCTAAAATTTACATCATTCCTATTGATAGGTATTTGGGAAACTGCTGAACATCCGTTGCAATGCCCTAGATTTTGAAAAGCTGCATTACTGCAGCAGGAATAGATACTTAAATGTGGTATTTCAAACATTTTAATTCCACTATGAGGACATAAAATGTAAGTGCTCCGTTCCTCTTCAGTATCAAACACAGCACTGTCAGTACAAGGTTCATTTGGAGAAGAGAAGGACAAGAGAATGGGGGAGCTCTGGGATTTCTGTGACAATACAGAGTAGTTTGCAGAGACCATGAATTGTTTTGGGGAGCATACACACACATGTATTTCTATGAGTTTGACAGCACTGTTGAATTGCCAGGACAACTTAGAAACCAGAACAAATTTTAGTTGCTACAGAAACATCTGTGAAGGGCAGGGCTCATCAAGACATATGTCAGCTTACTAAGTTAAGACACACAGGAGACAGATATGGATTATGCTCAGAAATATGCCCAGACAGCTGTCTACTGCACCATCATTTTCTGGTTGTGTTTTTTTTTTGTTTGTTTGTGGGGTTTTTTTGTTTTGTTTTGATTTTTGTTTTTTGGGTATTTTTTAATAATTTTTGGACACATTTGGGAACCCTAACACTTTCTGACTATAGAATCTGTAGATGAAATGCTGACATAATGATAAAATAATTAAATCTGTGATTCAATATTTGTGGTACAGTAGCCTCAAGAGGGTTAAAGGTGCAATTTCTACATATACAATTTCAGTGGCTTTTCAGGATATTGCTCTTGCCCCTGAAGATTTATAGTCAAACGAGAGTGCAGCTTCTCTCCAACATTTTACATCAGTAACTACAGTGTGTGAAAGCAGTGCATAACTGTTAAGTCACCTTTTTTAGATGATGAATACAAGCTTTGCTAATAACCCTAACCTTGTTTTCTCTAGGAACTAAACTAGCAAGTTACATTTTACATTACCTTTCTCATCACTAGGATGTTCTACTTGCTAGTTCCACCTGAATGAAACAAGGGATATTTAAAAAGTCTGTTAGCATCTTGAGTAGTAATTTAATATAGAGATGTTTGTTTAACAGAGTGGGTTAATAGGAACATTAAGATTTGACTCTCAGGTTAGAGAGGGAACTAGTTAAGGATGTCTCTGTTGAAATAAAATATCACTATTCTGTCACATGAAGAAGTGTTTTTTTTCATTTAGTACTCCGCATACTAATCAGTGTAGCTAGAAGTTAAGGTTACTTAGTTTCATGTTCACAAAAAAGTTAATTTTAATTTAGCTAGTTTAAGCTAGTTTTCAAAAATAGTGCTAGTAATACCATAAACCTGCATGATTTTGATAGTAAAATTATTTGAGAATTCTGCTTATTCTAATATGCTATAGTGCATTTTGTTATATGACAAAATATGCATAATTGCTACAGAGTTCTACAGAAATCTGTTATTTATGAAGCAAAGTGAAGGCCTCAAGTAATCTCCTTCTGTCTCTTCTCTAGTACATATATTACTGATAATAGCCTATATTGATTCAGAAAAAGATTTAGGGTGTTGCGAATTTTCTCCTATAAACATAGTTCTTTACCCTCCAATGTCTTCAGTGGTTAAGATGACCACTAATTAAAAGAAAATTAAAGCTGTATAGGTACTGCAATGTATAGGTACCATATATATATATATATAGTATACAGGCAATGTGTTTTGCTAAGCTATCCAAGAACAATTGTGAGAGTGGCCTTCCAGCTTCAGAAGTAGAAATTAAAATTACTTCCCATCAATTTTCACATATTTCTTGCAGACTTTTGCATTTTAATGAATAACTAGCTCTGTTAGGTTCTTATTTTTGAAATTCAAATAGTTACATAGATATTAGTGGAAAATGTCTTTTTCTTGTAGCAAAGAGTTGCTGATGCGAGTGATTCAGTTAAAAGAGAAAACTGCATTTTTCCACAGCGTCCATCATATCCAAATGAAGGCAATAAGCACTAAATCATCTATCCTAGTGTTCATGATCTCCTTGCACTGGTTAAGAAAAGGTCACATTTAAGTACTTTGGAAATTGTTTTGTAGATGAGAAACATAAGTAAAATGAAATGGTTACTTTTACATTTCTTATCTGTTTTTTCCTCAGTGTTAGGACCTTCTGTTGTGTATATATATTTAACATGAGCGAGTAATACTGTAGTACTGGATATGTGTGCTTTTTTGTGCCTGACACCATTATGGTAGCATGTTTTTAATTTATAAAGATGCCCTTTAAGAGTACCCCAAAGATATATCTAGTGCTGAACACAGCGGTTCTTCTTCTGAATAGCAGAAATCGCTCTAATATATCAACAGTTCTTGGCATTGCTCCCCGCAGTGCCTGACTGATTAGTTACTGATCGAGTTCAAGGTGCTACTTATGATTTTAAAAGCCCTAAATTGGTCAGGATCTGAAAGACTGCCTACAGACCCACTGTGTCTCAGAACAGATTGACTGGCACATCTCTCCAATCCAAGGACTGATGGCACTCCCAGAGTTTAGGCGAGGCTCCCTTGTAGGTATGCATTTATTATACAAACGCAGACTTTAATGGCGATATGAAACAGTGGTACTCTGTTCTCCTACAGGCTGCCTACCTATGAGAACTTGATCAGGGGTCTGCTGCATGTGCCATGCATCCCCCTTCGAGTTAGCTCCCTCCCTCCACTCCCACCCGATCTCTCCCATCCAAACTGGACAAACCCCACCCCACAGGTCCGGACACATACAGGTGGTTGCCTTCAGGAAGAACTACAGGAGCTTCAGAAACGGTCATCTCTAAAGAGGCAGAGTTACTGTTTCAACTTATGATAGTGCCTTCATGTTCACGTGGCTGATGTAGATGTCTGAGGACTCAGACATGCCAGATTTCCAACGCAAACAGACTGAAATTCAAACTTATTCTGCAGACTTTTGGGGAAAGTCAGGAGACATGTCTGTTGTATCAGCTTCCCAGTATTTCACATCACAAAAAAGTGCTGAGACAATTGTCATGCATTAACAGAGCAAAGAAATAATATACTCCCAGTGCAGAAAATTACCCCCTTTTCTTTCTTCATTATCATATTTTTTTCTGCCACAGCATGGCAATGCAGATGACTAAGACAGGATATCTTCCGTGAGAATGCCCAGATGGGAAATTACCCATGCAAAACTAGTGTTAAAAGCAGGAAGAAAACCAAGCAACAAAACCAAAATACATTAATGCAGTTATATATATGGTCTCAGAAGTTAAACAAGATACATCTTTCTAACACCAGTTAAAAAAGACAAAGCAGGCAAACACGAAAACTCAAACGTTTTGTTTCTCTTGTAATTCATTTCTGTTCCCTGCCTGAGGTGGTGTGTAAAAGTCAGCAATACCTGGACAGAAATAAAAGTCTGATTTCTAAAAACCTGCCTTCTACAGTACTCCATGAACCACAAACATTACTGAACTACAAATATGTTGATATACAATAGTTTTGGTAAATAGCCATATGTACCTACTGTTTGTTTTGGGAGTTTGGTTTTTTTTTTTTTTTTTTTTAAATGATGCACCACTGCGGATACAAAGGCCTGTTAAGGCTAATGAATAGCTGTGATTCAAAAAGCTTATGAACTGGATTTACTACTCTCTTGCTCATACTGTACTGAATGGTGACTATATATTTGACGACCCCTCTCATGAAAAGCTCTCAGCAATTATTTTTCCATTTCCAAGAAATATGAATTATGAACAGACTCTTTCTCTCAACTACATTAAAAAAACCCACCCTGAATTAGCAAATACAATGCAGTTACCTGTCATGTTGCAGTAAACTTTCAAAGGTCCCAGTGCTCCACTGCCATCTGGATCTATCCAGTAGTAATTTGAAGTTTTGCCCAAGTGTTTGTATGCTTCACAAGAGAGTTCATGAATAGCTGGAATGAAATAAAACACAGCAATAAGGATCATCATATCCTGGAGAAAAAAAATCCACACTGACAATAAATTGACTTTATTCATATATCAAGAACTATACCTTTGAGATTAAAGTAATGTCACTGACATTCACAGAAAACAAAGCATCTTTCCAAAGACACAAAAGTGATTAAAAGCTTGAGGCACACGGTTTAATTTTTTGGCATGTGAGAGAAAGCCAGAATAGGAAAAGAATTCCAAAAACCAGGGGGTGGGGGAGAAACAACAACAACCAAAATTTTCCATAAGTATCTTTAAACAGCTTTTGAGAATACTTTGGTTCTGAATTTTGTTTATACACTGGTTTAAGTTCTACATCATAAATGGAGACACTTCTATTGATCCAACATAATTTTCCCTTTAGTTTTCTTTCAAGAGATGCACCAAAAAGCTTCTGAGTTTTCCCTCTGTAAATTTTAGAATTTTTCAGGTTCTACTACAACTCAGAATAACACTGTTTAAGAATTGTGAAATTTCTCATTATGTGTAACACCTGTCTCTACACAGCTCTGCAGTTACTCTATTACATATCTACATAACTAATAATTCTGTTCTTGCAAAATTAAAATATTACAGTATTTACTGAAGAAGTTTAATTGATTTAACAAGAGGTTTTGATTCAATTTTTCCTTGACCTCTCTACACTGCTTTCTGTTTCAAGTCACAAAACTTCTCAAATTGTGTTATGATAAATAGCTCAGACATAATAAAGCATTGTAGATAGAAGTTTTTCTAGTAATTCCTATTATTTCCTTTGAAATGTATGACTATTACAAAGTTAGGCATGTTATACATGAATAAATGAAATAATTTTATGCATAGAAAAAATAAAACTGGTAATTTATATAAGTTGGGGTATGTATATAAATAAATAAATAAATATATATATATA